ATCGAGATGGCGCAGAAGCTGCTGAACTCTGACTTGGGAGAGCTCATCAACAAGATGAAGCTTGCCCAGCAATACGTCATGACCAGCCTACAGCAGGAGTACAAGAAGCAGATGCTGACCGCGGCTCATGCCCTGGCTGTGGATGCCAAAAACCTGCTTGATGTCATTGACCAAGCAAGACTGAAAATGCTTGGGCAGACAAGACCACACTGAGCCGCCCAAGGAGCATGTCTTTCTACCCCTTGGAAAATGTTCTCTAGCCTTCCACCAGCAGTGAGGAATTAACCTGTGTCCTCAGTCTGGTTGCCAGCACTTACAGCTCCACCTGAATGATAGCTGGTTGAAAGTCTGTCATACAAGTTTAATCATGTTTTGATTTGGGTTCATTTTTGTTTTCTTGAAATCATAATATTCAGAAAAGTCTAGGATCCAAAATAATGGCATTTTTCTAAGAATGAAAATTGTACATTAAGTTAAGAAGCTTTTAAAAGACCAGGTGTGGTGGTACACGTCTGTAATCCCAGCTACTCAGAAGGCTGAGGTAGAAGAATTGCAAGTTCCAGTCCAGCCTGAGCAACTTACGAGACCTTGTCTCAAAATGGAAAGAGAAGAAGGGAAAAAAAACTTTTTTAAAAAGAAGCTTATCATGAAGAACAGTTGGTGTCAGCATTGGGGTGTGTTTAGTGGAAATGGCCTGGGGGCCATGTTAATTCCTGACCTCCCTGCACTGCATACTGGAAAAAGAGAGCATGTGTGAAGAATCCCAGGAAACTGAAGAGGCAGAGAACACTCTTCCTGCCATAGAGTTATCCAGACTGGGGGTTTGTTTGTTAGAACACCCTTCTATTGCAATATGCTAATCCCATTTACAAAGAAAGAATATAAAAGCTATATTTTGAAGACTCAAGTTGTTTCAGAAAAAAACTACCACCATTTCTGTCTCTCCTGCCTTTTACTTTCACGTGAATATTGAAGCATTGGGTTGGGAACTAGCTGTAGGACACAACTAAAATTCTTAGTCTTTTTCACCAGAATAATGTGCCAGTTTTTTGTAGCAGTGTAATTTCTCTTGGAAGCAGAAATGCTTTGTACCAGATCACCTCCAAACTGCATTGAGAAGAAGTTCCAGAACCATCCCTGTTTTCCATTTTTATATAATTTATAAAGAAAGATTAAAGCCATGTTGACTATTTTACAGCCACTGGAGCTAACTAACCCTTCATTGTGTCTGTCTTCCCAGGAGAGAATTAAGAGGAGCAGAGGGATTTGGTTCTCTTTAGATGTCTATCCATTCTGTTAGATAATTTTGAAAAATATACCCTCCCTTTAGTTTGTTGGGGGATATAAATTATTCTCAGGAAGAATATAATGAACTGTACAGTTACTCTGACCTATTAAAAAGGTGTTATCAGTAAAGTTCTTGTTGCAGTATCTTTTCTTTGGTTCTTTTCCTTCAAATCACTTAAAATTTTTCAGAAGGACTTGTCAGGTACAATGATGTGCAGTAAAGCTCTCACTAATCATTAGTTTCTTCTCTTCCTTTTTCTTCTACACACATGAGAGGGCTCTCCCATAGGTGGCCCAGCGTAAGTCACGTGTTCCATTGTCTTCATTCACGAGATGGAGAGCTCAAGGTGCCTTGCCACTGGACAGTTCTCTTTGTGGTCTTGGTATTATAACAGTCCATCCAGATTCCAGGAAGCTGTTTGCACTCAGGTCACTTGTTACGGGAATTACCAGTTTGGCTATAATCTCTGGTCCATAAAGCCAGAAGTGAAGAGAACTGATATCCACAGCACTGAGACTGGTAGGGAGAAGGCCCTGGGACAGAGACCTTAGGGAGGGTTTGAGGGAATGTTCTCAGGGAAATACATATTCTTATGTGCAAAATCATTTCTGTTTATGGATATGTGATGTTTAATTGATCTGAAGAAATTGTCAAGGATTGTCACCCAATTTTCTGCTTATTCTCTGGCATTGGGTCTCTTAAGTCTTAGTTTCCTCATCTTTAAGATGGTGATTATGGGCTGGAATGTAGCTCAATGGTGGAGCACTTGCTTAGCTTGCATGAGGCTTGGCTTGCACTTCTGTCCCTAGCACCACACACACACACAGATACACATGACAGTGATCACAAAAGGAGAGATTATTGAGCAGGACAAGTCTAGCTTGAAGGTGAGAGCTATGGTGAGCCGTCCTTTACAGCATGGGATGTGTAGTAGCACCTCACCCAGGTAGGACAACCAAGATGGCCAGGCATTGGCAGTGAACAAAATCATCCCAAGTTCTCAACTCAGACTGCTTCAGGATGGGTTCACCACTACCAGCACCCTTCATCCAGTGACCTGCTGTTCAGGACCCCCTGCTTTTCCTCTAGGGCGTAGACTTGAAGGTGAGTCTCTCACCTTCCTATACACCAAGCAAAAAGAAAAAAAAACATCTGAGGGCCGGGGATTTTAGCGAAGTGGTTCCACCACCTGCCTTGAAAATGCAAGGTCCCGAGTTCCATCCCTGGTACCAAAAAAACCTCTAAAAATCTGGGTTATGATGCAGGTAGAGAGAGACATTGTGTTGTCTTGGGAATAGGCAGACCAAGGTGGAGCATGGTCCCCGGGAGAGCACAGCTGGCAGCACCATGCAGAGGTCCCTCACTGCCTATACTGGTACATGCATTGAAGACCTGAAGGTCTGTCAGGGCTGAGAGGTCATGTCTGGTTTTTGGTTTTGGTTTTGGTTTTTTTGGTACCAGGGATCAAACTCAGGACCTTGCGCTTTCGAGGCAGGCAGTGGCACCACTGAGCTAAATCCCCAGCCTGATCACTTCTGTTTTAAAGGTGTTAAAAGTATAAAGATCTGGGCCGGGGATTTAGCTCAGTGGTGCCCCACCTGCCTCCCAAGCCCAAGGTCCTGAGTTCAATCCCTGGTACTGCAAAAAAAAAAAAAAAAAGTGTAAAGAACCAGAGAAAAGTTCACGTGAAACCTAGTCTTCTGGGTGTGTGTCCAGTTGCATGTAATTTGTTTTCTCAACATACAGTGATTCTGGGCCGGGATTTAGCTCAGTGATTCTGAAGCCTGCCTCGCAAGTGCAAGGTCCCAAGTTCAATCCCCGGTACCAAAAAAAAAAAAAAACCATACAGTGATTCTGAGCATACTTGTTTTCTGATCCTTGCAGATTTCTTTTGCCAGTTATATGTGTTAGCTGCAGATTGGTTTTTGTTTTTGTGTACTAGAGATCAAACCGAAGGCCTTTGCACTGAGCTACCTCTCCAGGCCCCTCCCCCTAGGGTCTCAATAAGCTACCTGGGCTGGGCTCAAACTTGGTCCTATTTTTTTTTTTGGAACCAGGGATCGAACTCCTTGCGCTTGCAGGGGAGGTGGCGGAACTACTGAGCTAAATCTCTGGCCCCAGGTCCTGCTGTTTTAATCCCCCACCTCCCCTGTAGTAAGGGTCAAACTCAGGACATTGTGTTTGCCAGGCAGGCACGATGCAGCTGAGCTACATCTCCAGCCTTTTTTTTTTTAATTCTTTTTTTTCCTACTATTTTATTTAATGATCTTTACATCTATCTTAATAAGCAATACTGCTCTGTAGTTACCATTTTCAGTAGAGTATTTTCTGGTTTGAGTATCAAATTAATGTGGGCATCATAAAAATAATTGGGAAGAGTTCTCTACTATCACCTAGGAACAACGAGTAAAATTAGTGTTAACCTTTAAATGTTTGGTAGAATTCTCCAGTGACACCATCTGGGCCTGAGACTGGGGGGAAGGGCAGTTTTGACACATTCACAACAGGGCTGTAATTTGTCACGCTGCCAGGTGGCTTGAACCACCGGTGGTACATGAATGACTGTCGCATTGGGTGGCTTGTACCACTGGTGGTACAAATGAATCTAATCGCTTTTATTGATCTTTTTACTAATAAAATTAATAAAAAGCCCCCAGTGGGATAGTTGTGTATGTGCCACAGGTGGTTCAAGCTGGCAGGAACATGTTATGTGAGCTCACTATTGACAGTGAAGGGGATACTCAAATTATTTTTTTCCTAAAGACTGTTGTGTGCTTGTATTACTAATAGCAACTTTTAAGAGGTAAGTGCCATTGCTATTCACATTTTTGGTTGGTACACGTTTGTAGTTCATAATGGGGAGTAGTAATTCCTCATGGGGAGTTGGTACATATACGTCTTACTTCTTTTTCTTTTTTAAAAATTGCCTTTCCTTCCCCTTCCTCCCTTCAAATTATTTCACATTGAATGATCTGTATGTTCTTTCAAAGAGTTTTTCCATTTGTCTCTGTTGTCAAACACGTGGAGCTGTTCCTAGTTTTTCCTTATGATGTCTTCAGGGTTTGTAGTGATGTTCCATTTAATTACTGAAGCTGTGTTCTTCATTCCTGATGATCATGTCTTCTCTCTCTCGTTTGCTTGGTAGTCTCGCTAGATGTTTGTCATTTTGTTGATCTCTTCAAAGAAACTTTGTTTCATTAATTTTTCTCATTGTTCTATTTTTAATTCCATTGATTTAGCCAGGCATGGTAGTGCAGGCTTGTGATCCCAGCACTCAGGAGGCTGAGGCAGGAGGATGGCCATGAGTTCCAGCCAGCCTGGGCTACATGAGTGAGTTCAAGGTCAACCTGAACTGCATAGAGAGACCTTGTCTCCAAAAAAATGATTTTTTTTTCCTTTATTATTTTCTCTGCTCTGCTTCCTTTGGTTTTACTCTCTTCTTTTTCTAGCGTATGTATATGTGTCTAGGGCTTGAACCCAGAGCATCACACATGTTAAGCATGTGCTCTACCACTGAGCCACACTCAGCCCTACATTCTTGAGATGAGAAATTAAATTATTTTGAGACTCTTATTCTTTTCTAATGTAGGTAATGTTATAAATTTTCTTCTCAGCATTGCTTTAGCTATGTCCAAAATTTCATCTTGGTATGCTGTATTTTCAAACATTTTGTTTTGTTTCCTTTGAGACTTCCTCTTTGATGAGTGGATTATATAGAAACCCAAGTTATTTAATTTCCAGGTGTTTGGAGGCTTCGTTACCTTTCTGTTACTGACTTCCGGCTTGATTCCATTGTGGTTTGAGAAGACATCGCTGCTGAACGGTTTTAAGAATATTACTGATGTCATGCTCCTTAACCTGTATGCTAGACTGAACACTGACACCCAAAGTTAACATCCCCAGGATGCACGTGTGTGACCTTATTTGGAAATAGGATCTTTGTAGATGTTATCACGTTATGATGAGGTCATATACTGGGTAGGGCAGGCCCTAATCCAGTGACTGGTGTCCTTGTAAGGAAATTCTGGCACATGGGAGCTCACCAGGTGACGATGGAGGCCGAGACTGAGTGACAGGTCTTCTGACCAAGAAACAGGATTACCACCCACAACCGGGAGGCGAGCAGAGGCACTGTGTAGATGCGCCCCCAGAGCCTGTAGGCACACTGCAGATCCCTTGATTGCAGACTTCTGGGCTCCGGAACCATGAGAATAGATTCCTGTTGTACTCAGCCACCCATTTTGCTATTCTTTGTTTCGGCAGTCCTAGAAGACTAGTACAACCTGTCCACGCTTCAGTCTGCATCTCCTAGGAACAAGGACATTTGTATATATAAACATAGCCAAAGTATCCCACTCATAAAGTTTAATCTTACCTAGTACCCAGCTCACCCATAATGTGCTTTATAGTGTTTCCCTCAAATCCAAAATCCAGTCCAAGACCACACATTGCATTCAGTTGTAAACTTAAACAATACATTTAAAACAAAGTTGATCAATACACAGAACACCATTTCCCTGCTATATTACTATTATCTGTGGTGTCCGGGCTGTGCTAATTGCACCTGTGTGATGCAGTGTTATGTGGTGGTGCGTGTTGCTCATTTGTCTCCAACTCTGCATCCCCATGACATTACATGGCTAGCTTGGAATAGAGGAAGTTTGTGCCATGAGACTTGGCAGGCACTACACATCAGGACTTTTTCCCTGAGAAGCTGTTAAACATTTGCTACCACATGCTACTCTGTAGACTTCTCTAACCAGAAACAGTCTATTGGGCTCCTTTTATCTCTTACGGTACTGTATTTTGGAGCCCTTTTTCATTATTTTATTTTGAGACTATTTCACCTAGCTGCCCAGGCTCAGCTCCAACTTGTGATCCTCCTGCCTCAGCTTCCCAACGTGCTAAGGCTACAGGTGTGCACCACCATACCTAATGATCCTGTATTGTTAAGAACACAAGCCAGTACTATTGAATGGCCATCTGTGTTTGCCTGGTGTTTCCTCACGGTCAGTTTAGGGTGACACCTGAACAGCTTAGCCCTTAGGAAGACTGAAGAGAGTACCTGTGTTGGGATCTCACTGGGCTCTTTATTCTCAGTCATTAAAGCAGTAGCTTCGAAGTGGGCAGGTCGCCATCTACTCTCACGACTACAATGGCACATTTGTGGTTTTGTTGGGGTTTTTTTGGTACCGGGGATCGAACTCGGGTCCTTGTGCTTGCGAGGCAGGCGACGGAACCACTGGGCTAAATCCCCGGCCCTAAAAGTATAGGAGGTTTTTTTTTTTTTTTTTTGGTACTGGGGATCGAACTCTGGTCCTTGTGCTTGCGCAGCAGGTGGTGAAACCACTGAGCTAAATCCCCGGCCCTGGCACATTTGTTACAACTGTTTAAATGGATCTGGTAGTCCCGCTTCCTGATATGCCTGGCTTCACAGGTTTCCTGGCTCATGCCCATTGCAGGAAGGAACGATACACACTAGGTTTGTAACATTCACTCCCACACAAGTTTCTCGTGAGCATTTTGTAACACATGCTGATGCTCATCTCCCAGTGGCTGTTCATTCCAACGGCAGCATGGCGACGTCACTACTTGTGCCAAGACTGGGTGGTCAGGTGGGTGTAGATGCGCCCTGACCAGCCCCATCGCTGGAGCATGGGACCAAGATGCTGCCATTTGACCATGCTTTGGGGCCCATTCTTCAAGGAGGGCAGTGTTTGGAGGAGACACTGACCTGCAGTCACAGGCAGCAAGAAGCACCTGGGAAGGAAGACAGCCCTGTCCAGGACTTTGTCCTCATGAGTACACACCAGTTACATGGACTCTGGTGTCACCAGAGAAGGCCCAGACGTCATGGCTTCTCCTGAGGCACGGAGCCATTGCTGCCCTGGGTTCAAGCACTCGTGTGAAACCTGGCACAAAGGACCTTGTGCAATGGGCCGGGGATTTAGCTTAGTGGTTCCGTCACCTGTCTTGTAAGTGCAAGGCCCTGAGTTCGATCCCCAGTACCAAAAAAAGGATCTTGTGAGAGATCCTTACAAAGATGAACCAACTGGAGAATGGTGAGCACCTATCACCCTGAGGAAGAAAAACCTGATTTCTGGGCAGAATGTGAGAGAGCACAGGGGTCTTGATCTCCCTGCATGACAGCCCTCCCGGGCCCTCTCCACAGGTTGCTTTCCATATGAATCGCCACATGTCCCGACACAGGCTGTTTACGCACACAAACATAGTTACACCAAGCAATGTCTATGTGGCAGTATTACCTAAGCTCTGGTTTTAAAAAAATCAAATCAGTTATATGGAGTATGAGGCACTGTTTACAACTGGCTGGTTCTACTATACTAATTTCAGTGTTTTGAAGAATAAATTATGTGGAAAGAAAACAATAAACACAGGATTCTGTGTGAATTTTAATTCCTTTGAAAAGTTTTCAGGCAGATTTTTTTTTTTTGGTACCGATCAAACTCAGGACCTTGAACTTTTGAGGCAGAAGGTGGAACCACTGAGCTAAATCCCCAGCCCTTCAGGCAGATTTCTTAGTAATTATCTCAACTTAATCCAAGACTCAAATTAATAGGAAGTTTAAAACTACTGTAGGTTCGCCTGCTGTGCAAGCGCAAGGACCTGAGTTCAATCCCCGGTACCAAAAAAAAAAAAAAAAAAGACTACTGTAGGTTGAGAAGAAAAGCCAATGCAATCACTGTTGGTGTCAAAAAATACAAAAGACATTTTAAAATCTCTGAACACCATATAATTTCCAATACTTCCAGCATCTATAAGACCCTACTCTCATCCATAAGGTAAAATTTCTACAAGTCTTTCATCTATAGGCTGTCTTGGTTCATTTTGTAGAATCAGAACAGCAGTTACAGAGGCAGGGAAAGAAAAGCCATGTATAGAAGCTCTGTGTAAAATTTTGGTTTGTAATTTTCTATTTTCTTCACTGCTCAGTGGCAAGGAAGGCTGAGCCATGGTGAAACCTCCAGATGAACAGGTACAACCTGCTGTCTGTAGACACAGCACAGAAATAGGTCCCATTTTCATGAGGCAGTGCAGGGCACGCAATGTGCCATGACAACTTCCTGTGACCAAATTCTCTTTTTGGTTTGTATGAGACAGAGTCTCACTGTGTAGCCCAGGCTGCCCTTGAAGTAATGATCCTCCTGCCTCAGCTGGGATTATAGTCGTGCACCACCAAGCCTGGCTCCAAATTCTGTTTTACTCTAGATTTGAGAGCTGCTGTCTGCAGTGGGCCCCGTCCCTAGAAGGGAAGCATAGAGCCTGCAGAAGCACACCAGTGCCAGCTAGGTTACCCAAAGAGAGCATGAGGTATGACTTTAAAACCATGCTTGGGGCCGGGGATTTAGCTCAGTGGTTCCGAAGCCTGCCTCACAAGTGCAAGGTCCCAAATTCAATCCCTGGTACCAAAAAAAAAAAAAACAAAACAAAAAAAACCCATGTTTGGTGCTGGGTCTGGTGGCTCATGTCTATAATCCCAGCACTTGGAAGGCTGAGGCAAGAGGATTGCCACCAGTTCAAGACCAACCTAGACTACATAGCAAGACCTTGTCTCAAAAACCAAAACCAAAGCAAAACAAAGAGAATGTGCATGAGATAAGAGATGGTTCAAGGGTCCTCTCAGGAACCCAGTGTGCAAGACAGAACACCTATTTGCATGCCCTGGCAGGTGCTGGTGAGTAGCCTACCCTGGCTATGCTGAGTGTCAGCCACTGCTTTACTGATCTCAGCCCAGCCTCACCCTGGCCTCCCCTCCTGTAAGATCCTTAGGACCCCTAATCAGAATGTTCCCCCCACTGCCCAGTGCATATAATCTCGGACAATCCCCCATTGCCTTACATCCTCCCTCAGATCACTAACACAGGCCCACACCCTATTGTGTTAAGTCTAAGTGCCCCCACACCGCCATGTTCATGTTTAAAAATCTCAGCCAGGGAAAGAAAACCTCTGCGCTCCCACCAAAGATCAGCAGCCTGGGAGGAGACTGGGAGCAGAACCAGAGCACAGATCAGAAACACCAAGTGACCAAACCAGCCTTTTCCGTGAATTTAGGCAATTCTCTCCGTCTCACTCCTAATCCCAGCTGGCATGACTTTAGATGGAAAGAGGGCCTTTAAAGAGCCAACAAGTGACATTAATGACAGTGACTCTGAAGTGTAACTGGAGTGTTTCCGGAACCATCACATTTTTTTTTTCTGGCACCAGAGATCAAACTCGGGACCTTGCACTTGCAAGGCAGGTGTGGTGCCACTGAGCTAAATCCCCAGCCCTAGAACCATCACATTTTTAAAAGCCATGGGCTAAAACCATTAAAGCTCAGGTCCAACCATCTCTTTTGTACTGGGTAGGCATTAAGTAATGAAGTAGGTAAAACTGGTTTTCTTAAATAATTTTAAGAAATGTTCGAATTTGAGTCAATCATCATCTTGTTTATTTTTTGTTTTGTTTTTTGAGACAGGGTCTCACTATGTAGCTCAGGCTGATAGATCCTCAGTGTATTCTGTCTTATTCCATGCTTAGTATTTTCCATCCCTAAGAGCAAAAGGTAAAATTGACAGGTGAGCAGCCAGAGTGATTGCTCTGAGCAACATACACCTTTCTTTCTCTCTAAATTCATAAGAAAATCTGACCAGGATGTTTATAAAACAAAGTTTTCTCTGATTTTTGTACTGCTTCTCATTTAATAAATCCCCATAGCGAAAAATACCTATTGTATACATATACACACGTTTACCAAATGACCATCATGCTTTCCCTCACACTCAACTCATAAGCAGCTTGTTACTCTAGGTACATGTTACATTGTGTCATTATAAATTGTCAGAGTGTATCAATGTATTTTCTTCTTGCAACATATAAAATAGATACATTTATCATATCTTTATCATTTTAATCTTGACTGCTGTTAGAATTCTTTGTTTTCATGTGCTTGTTTTTTTGTTTTTGTTTTTTTGCTTTTTGCTTTTTTTGTTTTTTGAGACAGTCTTCCTATGTAGTCCAGCCTGGCCTTGAACTCGTGGTGATCCTCCTGCCTCAGCCTCCTGAGTGCCCAGATTACAAGCATGCACCACCACCCCCAGCTCAGAATTCTTATAAAATAGGTTCCTTAGTTTATCTCTCAGTAGATTCTATAATACTTCTGGAAATGAATAATGGCACCTTATTTGAACTGAAGCATGGAATCCTCTTGTGAGGAAAATGAGTCTCCTTAGGAGACCACTGTGACAAGAACCGGCTCTGAAAACCAGATTGCAGTCTGTGATTTTCCATACACTGAATAAGCTAAAGCCTCGACTCTAGAGTTTGACCACAATGTATTTAAGGAAGTATTCATTTTATTTTTTTATTGTTTTGGTACCGGAGATCGAACTCGGGACCTTGTGAGGAAGTATTCATTTTAAAAAAGCATTTTATTTTACTTTATTTGGTACCAAGGATCAAACTCGGGACCTTCCACTTGCAAGGCAGACACCAGAACCACTGAGTTAAATCCATGGCCCTAAAAAGCATCTTATTAGCAAAGGTATAAATGTATTCTTTTTATGTTTCCAATACTTTCTGAATATTCTAGGTTAAACTCAATGCCTCTAAATGAGTGTAGGTAATCCCAGCCTTGGAAGAGTCAATTTCACAATGGAAGCAAATGTACATACAGTGAAATGCACAGTTCAAGGCATTTTAATAAATATTTGCACATGGGCGAGGGATTTAGCTCAGTGATGCTGCGCCTGCCTCACAAGCGCAAGGTCCTGAGTTCAATCTCTGGTACCAAAACAATAATAATAATAATAATGCCACACCCACAGGCATACACTGTTCTGATTTATGTTATTAGTATTGGCCTATTCTCTAATTCGTATCAGTTGAAGCACACAGTGTGTACTTTTTGTATCTGGCTCCTTACACTTAATGTTTTTGAGATGCATCCATGTTATTGTGTTTGTTATTTGTTTGTTTATTTATTTATTGGAGACAAGGTCTTGCTTGGTAATTCAGGCTGGCCTTAAACTCATTATGTAGCCCAGGCTGGCCTTAAACTAGTGGCAATCCTCCTGCCTTAGCTTCCTGAGTGCTTACTCAATGTGTATATACACTATAATTTATTCTATACATTCTCTTGTTGATAGACATCTATCAGGATACTTTCCACCTTGAGGCTTGGTGAGTAAACATCTGTCCACAGGCTATGTGCCTTTTCACTTCTGTTGAGTAAATCACTGAAGTGGAACTGTTGGGTCATAGGGTCGATGTATGCTTACTTTTGTTAGAAACCGACAGTTTTCCCAAGAGTAAGAAAGTAGCATTTTTTACACCAGTCAACAGCGTATGAGCCTCTCATGTGCTACATTATCCTCTCAGAAACTGGCCCTGTCTGTTTCTTACTAGCCACTCTAGAATGGCTGTGAAGTGGTATTTCATTGTGGTTTTAATTTGCATTTCCCTGGTGACTAATAATGTTGAGTGCCTTTACATGTGCTTATTGGCCATTTGTCATGTGTATGTGTGTATGTTAAATGTCTATTCAAGTCTTTTAACTATTTTTAAAAATTGGGTTATTTACTTTTTATCATTAATTTATAGTACTACTTTACATATTCTGGATACAAGGTCTTTGCCCACTGTATGTATCACAAATATTTTTTCTCAGTCTGTAGCTTGTCTTCATATTTTTCTGCTGTATTATCTGATGACTAGTAGTTCTTAGTTTTGAGGAAGTCCACTTTATACTTTCAGTACTGGGCATTGAACTTAGAGGTGGGCACTCTACCACTGAGCTACATCCCCAGCTCTTTTTATTTTTTATTTTGAGACAAGGTCTTGCTAAGTTGCCCAGGTTGAGTTTGAGCTTGGAACCCTCCTGCCTCAGCCTTCCAAGTAGCTAGGATTATGGGTATGCACCACTACCCCCAGCTAAAAGCTTTATAGTATAAATTTTATGTTTAAATCTATGATTTATCTTCAAGTAATTTGTGTGAAGAAAGTAAGATGGATATTGAAGTTCATTGTTTTCCATATGAATGTTCTTTCGGCGCTATTTATTGAAAACATTTCCGGGCTTGGTAGTCCCTGCACTCAGATGGACAGAGCAGAAAGACCAGCACCAGTTTGAGGGCAGCCTGGGCTACACAGTTCAAGGGCAGCCTGAACTGCATAGCAAGACCCTGTCTCAAAAAACAAAAAGAAAAAAAAGAAAAGAACTTCCTTTCTCTATTGTATTGCCTTGTTAGCTTGGTTAAAAATCAGTTGACCTAGGGCCGGGGATTTAGCTCAGTGCAAGTGCAAGGACCCGAGTTCCAACCCCGCTACCAAAAAAAAAAAAATCAATTGACCTTGTACAAGGTCATCCACCTTATTCAGATTTATTACAGTAAAAGACACATTGCCATTAATCCTCCTCAAAATAGTCCCCCTCACTTTGAACACACTCATACCATCATTCTTGCCACTTTCTGAAGCAGTTCTGGAATCATCTTTCATGAGTGCCTTTTCAAAATGGGATCAAAAATACAGTGAATGCTGTTGCCAAGTGTCATCAAACTTGGAAAGGCAGACTCTTAAAAACATGACTATGTGCCATTACCTTATTTGCTAGATCTGGCACCATGGAACTTCTGGCTCTTCCCTAAAGTCAATATGAACATGAAAAGCAAGCATTTTGCATTGAGTCAGAACATTGTGGCAGCTATAATAGTGCAAGTAAAGACACTTGTGAAAGAGGACTTCCAGAACTGCTTCAGAAAATAGCAAGAATGATGAGACAAGTGTGTATTCTTAGGGGATTAATGGCAATGTGCCTTTTACTAAAATGAATTTTTAAAAATTTAAACATTTACCGTATTTTTATCCCACCTCCTGTGTATAGATGTATTTTTAGACTTGCTACTGTTTCACTTATCTGTCTATTCCTGTATGTATTTCACACCATCTTGATTACTGTAGCTCTGTAATCAGTTGTAAAATGAATTTGTCAGTTTCAGGGCGGTCTTGAGTTTGATCCTCATCACTGAAAAAAAAAAAGTTTAAAAAGAAAAAATAAATCAACTGGGTACAGCGGGAGAATCACAGGTTGGAGGCCAGCCTGGGCAACTTATCCAGACTGTCTCAAAATTTAGAAAAATGGGGGGAAGGGGCTGAGCCTTTACTTAAGCACTCCCTGGGCTCACTCCCCAGTAAGCAGGCAAGAAAATGAACTTGTCAGTTCCCATATTTTTAGAAAGCCAGTCAGGTTCCGAGCTCATGAGCCTTTGGTTATGACAACACTCCCCACCTGGGCAGCAGCTGGCGAGTAGCTCTCAGGGGTGACCCTGCCCCCGCTAGACTTGACCCTGAGGTCACCTGGGCCAGGCTGAGGCAGCAGCAACAGGGAGGATGGTCTCTCTCAATGCCCCAGATGGGGACCAAGCCTCAGTCCAACTGAACAACCACACTTGGAGACCTGGAGACACCCTGTGGTCCTCAGCCTGTCACATGAGTAAGCTCAGCATTAGAGAATAAGAAATTGGGCTGGGGATTTAGCTCAGTGGTTCCAGCGCCTGCCTCGCAAGCGCAAGGTCCCGAGTTCGATCCCCGGTACCAAAAAAAAAAAAGAAAGAAAGAAACTTCTCCCAGGGAGGGGGCATGATTGCTTCTGGACAGTAGTTCAATCTACCACAGCTTTCTTGCAGATGGCCACACCCAATTAGGATCACAAAGATGCTTTTGAAAGCCAGGGATTTCTACTTCTTGGCTTCTGACCCCTGGTAGGTGGGATAGACCCTTACCCACCATTGTTGGTAGGAAAGGTCCTGCGGGGTTGGGCCTAAGGCTCAGAATCCAGCAGCATCTGTGACGGAATTCCTTCCCACTTCCACCTGCCACTTTGTCTCACGACTGATGTCACAAATGTAGGAAATAGGGAGAGAATTTATGCAGAGCCCTGTCCCCACCCAGCCATACATCATCTGGCTCTTCCCTGGCTCTGAGAGCTAAGAGAAAAAGAAAGGCCAGCTCTTTTCTTTCTGAAAAGATGCCTTGCAGGGCTGTGGGTCCAGCTCAGTGGTAGATCACATGCCGCACAGGCTCCAGTTGGATCCCAGCACTACAAAGTAAAAAGAAGAGGGAGAAAGAGAAAGAAATATGTTTCCAACAAAATCATACTTTTCACAGATAATCATTATTACCCCAAATTTGTAATATATCAATTGTGTACTGATAATTGTATGAGACGCAAACAGGAATGTTTTCTAACACTTGGAGCCTTGGAGGAAATCAAACAAATTTGAGATTTCAATTTATATATACTATTGTTTGTTTTTACAGTCCTGGGGATTGAACCCGGGGCTTTGCTCATGCTAGGCAAGCATACTGCCAACAAGCCATACCTCCAGCCCTCTTATCTATACATTTTGTTGTAGAGAACTATGTAATCAATGAGATTTTCAGATGTAACAGTGTTACCCGAGGATAAACACTTGTGGAAGAATTAAAATGGGAATATGGGTTCCACAAGTATAAAATATTGTACACATTAAAGAGGAGGAGGAGCCTGGGGTGTTTGAACAGATTACGTGGGACATCAAATTGATGTGGTATTTATATTCCATCTGGTTACACTCTTTAAAGTGATATGACAGTTTTACTTTTTCTGTGTCAATATTTACAATATGCCAGAAGTGGTATTCTTTGTAACTATTTAAACTTATGTAATATTTTAGGTGTCAGCTTAATGTGTGAGAGGGGTAAGACTGTTTCAGATCGTAGGTTTGTGAACAAAACTGTTCCAAGACTACGGATGCCAAGTGCATTTAGTGGTTCTAAGTCAGCAGGAGCCCAGAAACCAACCAGAGCGCACATTGGTGTGCTGGGCCCACTCCACCTTGTGGTAGGGAGCCGGCGGCACATGTAGACCTAGCTATTGGGTTCAACATCCACTGTACAGTCCCTCTGCCTCAGTTTCCCACCTGTGGAATCTGGAACAGGCACGCATGCCAGCAGAAGCTCACTATGCCAATATTTACTAATGGTGACTGAACATGTCTCTTAATAGTGCAAGTTTGGGTGGGCTGTGGGGTTGTCCCTCTCCAGAAATCACTCTCAGACTGCTTTTGCGAGAAGCCCTGAGCAGGACTCTTCTCTTGTCAATGAGAGCCCAGTAAGTGCCTCAGTCCATTTGGGCTGGGGTCACAGATGCCACAGAGTGGGTGGCTACAAACAAGTGACAATGGGGCTGCCAGGCATAGTGGTACAGATCCATGGTCCCAGATACTCAGGAGTCTGAGGCAGGAAGATCACTCGATCCCAGGATTTTGAGACCACGCTGGACAACAGAGCAAGACCCTAACCCCAGAAGGAAAGGAAAAGGAGGGAAAGGATGGGAAGGGAAGGAAGGGGTGAGCGGAGGGAAGGGTTCCTGGTCACAGATGGCAGCTGCTGTCTGTGTCCTTGCTTGGTGGATTTTGTGGGCCTCTTTCCTCAAGGCATTAATCCCACTGACAAAGGCTCTGCCCTCATGACCTGCCTACCTCCCAAAGGCCCCCCATCACCTTGGAGGACAGGTCTCCCACACGAATTTGGCGGTACACACACTCAAAGAGGTTTGAAACAGCGACCCTGCCACCCATCTTATGGTTTCCAGTGCTGCGACATGACTACACGGAGGCCAGATGCTCCTCCACCTGAGTGGCCTTTTCCGTGTATGGGCCTTGGGGAAGACACAGGATCCCAGGACAGGACTCGGGTGAATGTTGGGCCCCAACTTAGAGTGTCCACTGGCCTGTGAGGTCCCTGTCATCCCAGTTCTCAGTGAGGGTGACATTCCAATCCCCCAGTGTATGGGATCCAGTACACGCCTCTTCAGGGGGATCCACCCCATCAGGATTGTGGGGCTGGGCATGGGCATCAAGTGCGTGGAAACGCAGTCACTTCCCACTGCATACGGCTCCACAGGGCACACAGGCTCCAGGTGGAGCTGATAAGGGACAGACTCAGGGTCCAACTGAGAACTCTACAGCTACCATCCTGATTGGCCTTTCCTCAGACTCTCAGCTCCAGGCTAGAGGTACAGCGAGGACAAGTGACACAGGGGCTGGGTGGTGGGGCCCGCAGTGGGACTCCAGGCTGTGTGGCGATGTTTTAAGAGACAAGGCCACACAGTCTGTCTTGACCCTACAGGCAGGAGGGTGGCAGAACACGTGACATGGAGTGACACCATCAAATGTCCTTTGGAGACTGGAAATGGGGTGGGATGGGGCCCGTGGGGTGTAGATGTCAGCACTGGGCAGGAGGTGATGAGGAGGGGTCTGTGGGAGGCACCAGCAGTGGACACAGCAATGGAGTTAGAGTGATGGAAGGGTGGGTGTGAGCTGTGTGTGTGTGTGTGTGTGTGTGTGTGTGAGAGAGAGAGAGAGAGAGAGAGAGAGAGAGAGAGAGACGCTGCCACAGGCCAGTCAGATGTCCCTTCCTCAGGCTCCAGACCCCCCAGCTGGTGGCTCCCATGACTGTGATAAAAATACCACCTTCCCTGAGTACAAATGAGCCCAGCACCCTTCCACATGTGTACTGACCATTCCAGTTTTTCTCTGAAGTGTCTATTCAAGGGTTATATCTATTTTTCTATTGGATTGTCACTTTTCTTCCTTAAAAAAATGAAATTTTCTAGAAGGAAAAAATGGAAACAAAGCTTTTGTACATAGGGAGGGGAATGGGCTTGAAGGGGAGAAACGGATAAACTAAAACTTATTAATAAAAAATAAAATGTTCCTAAATATTCCAGGTGAGTTTTTATTATTGGCTATGTGTAGGGTACAAATATTTTCTCTGATTCTGTGGCTGTTTCCCACTCACGTGCGAGAGGGAATGTGAGTGTGGCACTGGGATCAAACTTAGGGATATTCTATTGCTGAGCCACATCTCCAACGCTTTACTTTCTTTTGAGACCAGGTCTCAATATCAGGCTGGTCTCAAACTCTCCATCCTCATGCCTCAGCCTCCCAAATAACTAGAATTACAGGTGTGCACTGTGGTACCCGCTGTTTCCTACTCTTGCTTGTGTGTGTGCGGCAGGGGTACTGGGGATCGAGACCCCGCCTTCCTACTGAACTGCAGCCCCAGACCCTCTTTTTTGTTGTTTCTTTCTTTCCTTTTCTTCCTTCCTTCCTTTTTTCTGTACTGGGGATTGAACCCAGAGCCTTTGCACTGAGCCACATCCCCAGTCCTTTTTTATTTACTTGAGACAGAGTCTCACTAAGCCACTAAATTGCCTAATCTGGACTCTTGGGATCCTGCTATGTCAACCTCCTTAGAGTGCTGGGATTGCAGGCATACGCCACAACCCAACTCCACTCTTTTTATGATGCTTTTTCTTAAAACTATTTATGTCAGAGGGTGGTCAATCCTCTGACTGCTTAGAAAGTGGGACAGTGAGGGCTAAAGAAAAACAATAGAGACTTGCGTAATTTCAAAGTATATGGGGGTCTGGGAGGTCAGTGCCTCAGAGAGGAGGCTCCAGCTTGCCACTATTTATTGGGTTTACACAATAATCCAGAGGAGCTCAGGTGACTCAGAGGGCGGAGGTAATCCTGCTGCTGAGGATCTTATGCTGATGAAGATGTGAGACAGGCAAAACATTCTTACAATAGCAGGAGGGAGGAGTTAAACTGATAAGTAATTCGTCCCTCCCAAGTGAAACCCTTCTTTTTTTTATTACTACTCGGTTCTCAAAGAACCAGGATGTTTTCAGCTGATGGAATCTTGCCCTTGAGCATCACAGCATCACCGGACCACTGAGCCCACAGCTGTGACCAGAAGTAAAACAGAGTTATGTTTCCGCACATGCCTGCTCTCGGGCAAGGACACTAAGCTTCAAACAGCCCTAATCATAATTTAATTGTGAGATGATTTTTCCCCCGAAATTTATACAGAATGGCTCTCAACATATTTACACTGAAGATTTTAATATATACAGAAACAGAACAGTGTAATGAGCCCCCATGTGTCTACTGCTGGCCTTTTGTGAGCACCTTCTCTCCTTACTTTGAAGCAAATTCCAGCCATCGGAGCTTCTCAGTGTTTGAAAATATTTCAGAATGATTCTCTAAAAGAGAAAGGTTCCTTTTCATCTTGACATAATCAAAACACCATTATCACAGCTTCAGAATTTAATTACTTTTTTTTTACAGGGGAGTGGTTTGAGACAGGGTCTCACTCTGTAGCTCAGGCTGGCCTTGAATTCACTGCGTTACCAAGGCTGGCCTCCAACTCCCAGCAATCTTCCTGACTCAGCCTCCCAAGTGCTGACATCTGCCACCACACCCAACTTCATGATGTCTTTTGAGGAATAGAAAAAATATTACTAATTCAATGAAAAAAAATTTTTTTATGGTATTGGGAATAGAACCCAGGACCTTATGCATGCTAGGCAAGTGCTGTATCACTGAGCTAAATCTTCAGCCCCATTTATTTTATTTATTCATTTATTTACTTATGCATGTTTATAATATTGAATTGTGAGGCTCATTTTGGTAAATTGGTACATGCATTTAACATACCTTGGTGTCTTAGTTACTTTTCTCTTGTTGCTGAGACAAAATACCCAACACCCAAAGTTAAAGGGGGAAAGGTTTATTTGGTTGACAGTTTGTAGGGGTTTCAGTCCATAATCGGCTGGCTCCAAGGCAGAGTGGCAGGGGGTAATAGTTCATGGTGGCAGAAGACAGCAAAAGCAACAGGAGAGCTTAACAGTGCCTTTCTGCCCCTTTTATCCCATTCCAGGCTATTGGGATTAGGGTGGGGCCATATCAATCACTCACATGTACTGGTTTAGTAATCACATGCCCTTAATCCCAGCATCACACCCTCCAGATTTGCCCACCTCTGAAA